CTTCCATTGTTCTGAATATTAAGTTGTTGAAAACAAAGAACATAGAACATAGAAATTTTCCTAACAGTAAGTGCAATCAATAAATCAATGGCACAGCTTGCCTTCAGAAATTGTGCATGCTTCATCACTGGAAGTTTTCAAAAAGAACCTGGACAACCATTTATCTGAAATGATATAGGGTCTCCTGCTTGAGGAGGGGGTTGGACTAGAAGACCTCCAAGGTTCCTTCCCACTCTGTTATTCTATGTACTATGTTCTTTGTTTTCAACAACTTAATATTCAGAACAATGGAAGAAGTCATTCTCAGCAGAGGAGGAACTTGTTTTGCATCAAATATGATACAAATCTTTTTAAATTAATAGATTCCTTGTAGCTTTAAAGGAACCCAATCCAAAGTCGCTCTATGAGTGAGATGAAAGTTCTTAAATATGACAAATAAATCAATAAACACAGATTTTGTTTACTCCATGACCTCCTCTTTACAGTTGCAAGTAGGCAGAAGAAATTTCTCAGAATTGTTTTGATACTAAGCTACTGTTTTGCAAGTTTTTGAAGAAAGGGTTTAAGACAAGTGTTGCTACTTATGCTTTATTTTTAGGTATTTATATTATTTTAATGCAGTTGAGAATTAGTGGTTAAAATCCACAAGTGCATGTCTGCTGCCATGATGGCTTATGTCCACATGGTGCACTGCACAGTGATTTTATGTTCCCTCCAAATGTTCCCTCTGTATCAAAACCCTTTTGTTATTATTTTTTCTGCAGACTATTTTTTTTAATCCTCTATTTTTATATACATGGTTGATGATTAAGCAACTTCTGGCTCTTTGTGAACGGATGATGGGTCATCAGTGAAATAACCGTCTAATAACCGTCTCCACTTTTGGTCTCTTTTTCAATTATCTTTGCTTTTACAAGCATCAGGATCTTCTCTGATGACTCCTACCCTTGCGTCATGAATCCAAAGTATTTAAGTTATAGTTTGAGCTTCATTGCTAGGGTTTGGGGGAAAGCAATCCAGTTTCAATTTGTTCTTTGCAGTTCAAGGTATTCCCAACAATTTTCTCCAGTATCAATATTCAAACACATCTTTTTTTTTCTTTGTTCATTTTTTCATGGTCCAGCTTTCATAGCCATGTGTTACAATTCGAAGCCTATGGCTGCGACAGTATCTATCTTGGTTGTCAGTGTGTGGTTTCTGTTGTTTAGCATTTTGTGTAGATATGTCCAAGTAATATAAATCTGTTTCATGGCTAAATTCATCTTCCCTCTGAATGTTTGAGCCTAGGAAGATAAAATTGCTACTGCTTCAACATTCCCTATTTGCATTGAATTAAGTCTTTCTTCTATCATCTACTTCTATTACTATCAGAATAGCATATCTTCATATCAGATGTTGATATGTTATTAAATTTTATCCCAGAGTTTTAATTCCTATTTCTTCTAGTCTAACATTTCTCATGATATGTTGTGCAAATAAGCTAATAAATATACAATGTGCAACTTAGACATGCTCCTTTTCCCATTTTGCCTGTTACTTGTTCTGTATTCTCTTCTAACTGTTGCTTTCTGATCATCATACTTCAATAGGCATAGAAAGTAGCCCAGTTTGCAGTTGTTTTCAAAGGCTGTCCATATTTGTTATGGTCTACACAATCAAAAGCCTTAGTCTCATTGATAAGGGAAAAACAGATGTCCTTTTGGACACTTCACTATGTTTTCCTTATAAATGTGTATACCAGAGAGAACCAAATATTTGAGCTCTATAATTTGTACAAGATATTCATTAGTAGAGCTTTTGTTTATTCCAATATCATCTATATATTCATTAGTGACATGGGTGAAACTCATTTGGAAAAATGAACCCAGCTGTAGATATCTAATGAAGTTCTTACCACAGTTTCTAACTGCTACCGTATCTGTATGTTTCATATTTTATCTTAATATCTGGACAAATTTCCTTTTGTCCGCAGCATGAATTCTACTTTTATATTCACTGCCAGCCCCTCTCAGCCACAGGTAAGTGATAATAATTATGTATGATAATGATAAATACATCTTTTCAAAGTTTAGTTAAAATCCAAGATGTCAGAATATTATTTTTGGCTATTTATTAAAGTAGGATACATTTGCCCTATATTATAAATCTTAAGGCAGGATGGAGCCAAACAGACAAATTAAACAGCTATTAATAAAAAAAGGCCTCAACATTATAAAATTGATGCTTACACATCGATTAAAGCCTCCAGTAAGACACAAATGTTTGTATAAATAGCCAGATCTTTACTTCACACTGAAAGGAAGTCAATATTGCTGCCAGCTGTACCATTTTATTCATTGGCACTGAAATGAAATTGCATCGGATGCCAGCTGTACATTCCTATATACAATAATAGGCAGCTCTTAATGACAGGATGAAGAGAAGAGTCCAAGAAGGTACAAAAGCAGCTCTTCTTCATATAAGCCAATATCTTAAGACTATGTAGGACTTTGGCAATATTAACTACCTCTATATAACCGGCAGAGAGGCAAATGTAAACTGATAAAATCTCTCTTCTGTCTTCTTGGATTCTTGAGTCCAGATCGCTATCAAACTAGATCAATCTCCTCTGGAGGACATGGAATGCCTATATATAACTCTAACTCCAATCTAGATGAATGCTAAACTACCACCTCGGTATCCGATGCTAGATGACATCTAACTAATCTAATTTCTTTACAGTAGTCAGGTGTGGATATTTATGCTAGGGAAGAACAAGGTTCATTGGTATGATCTTGTAGTAGTATTAAAAGCTTCATGAACCTGATAATAAAATGGAATAAAAATTTGAAATCTCTTTAAGATCCAGGTTGTATTGCCAATCAGTCTCCAGCTGGGGCCAATCGCTACATCAGTTAACGTTAAAAGAGATGCCAGGGATGATTTCCTCAGGGATTTCTCCAGGGAATGGCATATATTATCCACATCTAATTTATCCTATTATCCTTGTTTGTAGAACAATACAAATATTAAAATAGCAAAAAAATTAATTTCAAAATAACACTCTTCAATAAAGTGAATCAGAAATAGAAGACATAATGGAAATGGATTTATAATGGAAAAAAAGTGGATACTACCTGATAGTACAAGGAATTAGGCAGGCATAGAAGGACTTCCCTTTGAGTGGTTCAGCAGACGTAAAACTTGGATAGACTTCTGTCCATATTTTAATTTGAATTTCTGCACTGAGCATGGAGTTGAGCCTGAACTACGTGATAAAATCATAGAATTGGAAGTGACCTTAGAAGTCAGCTTGTGCAAGTACACTTTTCGCAAGAGCATTTTTGACAAATAACTATTTCACCTCTGCAGAAAAGAACTCTCCCCTGTATGTGGCATCCTCTTCAATTAGCTGACAGCTGCTCCAATTAGGAGGTTCTTCCTCTGTCTGGCCTATACCAACTTCCTTGTAATATTACTCTATCGATTCTGGTCCTGCCCTTGAGGCAGGAGAGATAGCAATATTTGCTTGCAATAGTAATAGGCAGCAATGTTTGACAGGTGTGATAACCCTTTAAATATTTGCAAACTGGTGTCATTTCTCCTTCGGTTATTTCTTTTGAAAGTTAAATATAAGTAGATTTTTCTAACCATTCTTCAGAGGCAATGGTTTCCAAACCCCCAGTATATTGATTGATAGTTATCAAATCAGAAAGCTTCTAAAGGCAATGCTTAATGTGGATTTCCCTGACAATAAAAAGCAGAGGAGCAGTGTTTCACCTGTGGGCTTCTCCCCCCATCTTAGTCTTGTGCTTATCCTATACTCATCCAGTTTCCAGCAATATCCAGCCTCACTCCCCTGTTAAAAGGTTGCTGCATTGCCATCCCTTCCAGAAAAAATTGTGTTTATTTTTTCCCTTTGGTAAAATGAACTGATTTTTTCCAGAACCTCCTCATTACAGATAGTCCTCAGCATATGACCACAACTGGGACCAGAATTTCCATCGCTAAGCAAGGTGGTTGTTAAGTGAGTCATGCCCAGTTCTATGACTTTTTTGTCACAGTTGTTAAGCAAATCAGTGCACTAATCACATGGTCATTAAGTGAATCCAGTCTCCTCCCTTGACTTTGCTTGTGGGAAGCCAGATGGGAAGGCTGCAAAGAGTGATCACTAAATATTTGTATGAATGGTCTGATGGGAATTATAGGCTTTTAATTGTTATCTATTTCCCCAACTAATATTTAAAAAATGAGAATAGTAAAATCCAATATGAAAATAAAAGTGAATAAAATGAAAGTAGACCATTTGGGGTCCTTAGAATGCCTTACAAAGCTGATTTCGTCCTTAGTTTTGTACCCCACAAAGATATATTTTAATTGTACAGCAGTTAAAGCAATGTGGGAAAGGTTTGATAACTGTGTCAGGGCAGCACTGAGCATTATAAAGGTATGGTGGAAAACAGGAAAACTTTTCCTTGATTATCCCAAATATGATTTTTCAAAGGGCAACCGGCTTTGTTTTTCCATGAAGACGTTTTGCTTCTTCAGTTCTGAAGTTCTTTAAATCTTTAAATATGGGGGAGCCTGTTCTGACCTCCCCTCCGTACACCAAGGCACTCCAAGACAAGATTACTGCTAGACAATTTATTCACAGTAAATTAACACACTGACAAGACCTGGACAGCAATCCAGACTTCCAAGATAAGAAATACACCCGAGAGCTTCTCCAGTGTTGGTATATCAGTTGAATCCTGCAAACAGCCTCCTCCCAAAGCCTCTCCTTATATACTCTCTTGGGAGGAGCCTAATTACAACCACCTGGGTCCAATTATCTTCTGTATCTGCGGAGTTGCTCTCGGCGTTTATCTGCCCGCCTTTGCCTGGCGTTCGGGACCAACTCCCTTAGCTCTTCCCCACTGCTCCAAGGCCTGACATCATGGGCACACTCCCTTTGGCTTTCACTGCTGCTCCATGCCTCAGGCGCCTCTTGGTGGCCAACCAGCCTCTCTGGTCCCTGCTCGGAGTTGGAACCCTGTCCAGGGTCCTCCACATCGTCCAGAGATGACTCATAGAGCCCCTCGCTATTGGAGTCTGTTTGCAGCTCCAACTGCTCCTGCTGGGCCACAACAGTTAACCTTTTGGTGCTAAGTGCCTAAAGTGTGCGCGTGACCCCAAAATGGGGGGGCACGCATGCACCCCTCACATGTGCGGCAGAGACCCAAAGACCAGCTGGCTGGTGGGAGGCATGCGTGGTACAGCTGGGCTGGGTTGACAGCTGGCGTGCCCGCAGAGAGGGCTCTGCCTGCCACCTGTGGCATGCGTGCCATCGGTTTGCCATCACGACTATAGTCTGTTCACCTTTCCAATATTTTTTTTTGGCAGAAAGACCAAAAGCAAAAAAAAATGCTCAGTTCCCAAATGGTTATCAGGCCTGCAGCCATATTCCTTGCTGGATCTTTGGCCTGTCACACTCTCTCTTATTTTACTATTCTGTTTCATTAGTGGGATAATTGGGAGGGGGGATTGTAAGGAGTGAGATGCTATGTAGCCATAACAAAATTCTTTCTAGAAGTCCAAGGTCATCCTTTGTCTCTGCACCTCTGCACCTGACCGGACGTGTATGGGTGGAGATGCCAGCGTGGCAATGGAAGATTGGACCATGTGATGGACTTGTGGGTGTGGGGGCAAGATCATGAACTTTCAACTGGGTGGAAACCCCAGGAGGTTTTCAGATTTGGGTTTCCACAGATGTACCAACGTGTCTCTCTTAATAAATTGGAACTTTGGGGAAAGATCTGCCTTGAACTCTGATTTAATTTTGGGTGATATTTGGAACGCTGACCATGGTAAAACCTCTCCTGAAAATCTCCCATCCATATTTGGGGACATAAGCAACCAAATAAGCTGGTTACCAAAATAGTTTCAAATGGGCCATCAGTACCTGTTTTTATTACTGGTTCCAAATAGCTGGAATATAAATATCCAATATTGTTCCCAGATATCTTACCTGGCTTTCTAATTCCGACACTTCCAAATTCAGCTTGTTTAAGTGTTTGTTTACAAAAGTGATCAAGGACTGAAAAGCAGGGAAAAATACAGTGATTAGAGAAATAAATATCCAATAATCAATTTTTAAAAAATAACGGAGTCTTAACTCTTTACCGCGTTTCCCTGAAAATAAGACCCAACTAGAAAATAAGCCCAAGCGTGATTTTCCCCCAGGATGCTCATAATATAAGCCCTAACTTAAAAATAAGCCCCAGTTAAGATTGTCAGCCATACAGACACGCATCTTAGTAGCGTATTTCCCCCCAAAAAAGACCTAAGCAGAAAATAAGCCCCAATGCATCTTTTGGAGCAAAAATTAATATAAGGCCCGATCTTATTTTCGGGGAAACATGGGTAGAATTCAAAATAACATTCAAGTCTTCCATCATCTTGGTTCCATTAGAAGGAGCAGAAAAATATCTGCAACAGAATGATGCATATAGAAAAAGAGGGGGGCTCACATCACGACCCCATAATGCTGTTTGCATCACTCTGTCCCTCCCCCATTGGTTAACCCCTGTAGGGTTGTACAAAATTTATAATATTTGGAATTTAGGGGAACAGAAACAAGTTTCACACAACTTCCCAAGAAGTCTAATAATATTCCACATGCTTATTCCCATGAACAGGTACAGCACTGAGCACAAGATTGTCCTAAAGCTGGATAATGCTACTCTATTTAAAATGGCAACCTAAAGGGACAGGATTCTGAGTTCTTGGTGGTCATCCACAAATAATCCTCAACTTACAACCACAATTGAGCCCAAAATTTATGTTGTTAAAGTGAGGCATTTGTGAAGCGAGCTTTGCCCCATTTTACAACCTTTCTTGCCCACAGTTGTTAAGTGGCTCACTGCAGTTGATAAGTTAGTAACCTGGTTGTTAAGTGAATTGAGCTCCCCGTTGACTTTGCTTATTAGAAGGTTGCATGACCACATGACCTTGGGACACAGCAACGGTCACAAGTTTGAGCCAGTTGCCAAGTATCTGAATTTTGATCTCATGATCATGAGAATGCGTTAAAGGTTGTAATTGTGAAAAACAGTCATAAGTCACTGTTAGGAATATAATCTAACGGTTGGGTTGGCAATATTTAAATCATGTAACAATGCTATACCTATTTCTTTAAACCATACTGTAAAATNCCTATGAAGCGGTATATAAGTCTACTGCTATTGCTATATTGTCATTCCATACATTGCAGGAATAGCGGAAAACCTCAAGAGGATGTTCAGCCAACATGACATACTCTGAAAACTTCATACATATATTATAATCGTGCTATTAAATAGAAGTATACAATTTTATAGACAACAGGTAATAATTTATCAAGTAACTTTTAAGAAATACATTTATTTCTTACAATACAGAAAACTATAAACATTTAATTCATAAGTTCTTTATAATGTGAATTCATTAGGTGACTTGTGCATTCTGATTCCCCCAAAGTAGGAATATTGTCTTCTGTTGCCTGAGTTGGTCAAAATAATGGAAATGTGGCAATTAAGAAGGTTCCTCAGCCTGAATTCTTGAGATAGCTCAAGGGTTCTGCTCTGGACTTGCCCCCCCCCCCGCCCCTTCCTTAGGAAGGATTCCTTTTTTGTATTTGCTATTTTCAGAAAATTGGGTTGTCATCAACTGATAGTAATAGAGGGTATATGTCTAAAGCCAAATAGAAGGAGACATCTCTTTTCAATTCAAAATAGTTGGTTATTCTCTCTGTTGGACCTTTTGGACAACTGAAAGTAAAAAGCCATTCCTTATTGGTTTACCTTGTAGCTCCTGGGACTATGACTTCTTCTCATCCTATCACTGCCAGCACCCCTGAAGGAAGCAGCTATGGAGCTATAGGTACAGTACTTCTTCAGCTCACAGATGTTTGCTATGTCTATATCCTGTATTTAGCTAGTAAAAATAGTGGATTTATGTCTGTGAGCTGTTGCTTGAAGTTGAGGGCAAATTTGTCATTTTCAGTTTTGTTTCTCATCTTTTCTGCTGTATTTTTGTTTTAGTTCATTTCTGTCCAAACTTTTGTCTTCTTTTTCTCACATACACATATTTTTAATACTCTTTGTCTAATGTGGAGGGAGTCATCTTTCCACAACTGAAAAGATAATTGTTAGTCTCAAAATAAAATGGGAAGAGGCATGGTACATGCTGTGTATGACAGAGTCAAGATTTTCAGCAGCAGTAGCTCTGATGATACCTAGTTTGTAGGTAATAAAATGTATCTATGAACACGACCAAGTTCAGATAACACCACAGACCCAACAGTCCTATCCCCTATCTATTTGACTGGCTATCTGGCTGTCTATCTTATCTATCAGAGAGAGAGAGAGAGAGAGAGAGANCCTCCTCCCAAAGTCTCTCCTTATATACTCTCTTGGGAGGAGCCTAATTACAACCACCTGGGTCCAATTATCTTCTGTAGTTGCTCTCGGCGTTTATCTGCCCACCTTTGCCTGGCGTCCGGGACCAACTCCCTTAGCTCCTCCCCACTGCTCCAAGACCTGACGTCATGGGCACACTCCCTTTGGCTTTCACTGCTACTCCATGCCTCAGGCACCTCCTGGTGGCCAACCAACCTCTCTGGTCCCTGCTCAGAGTCTGAACCCTGTCCAGGGTCCTCCACATCTTTCAGAGCCGACTCATAGGGCCCCTCACTATCGGAGTCTGTTTGCAGCTCCACAACAGAGCCCCATTTAACCGAGATACTCATGCTGATGCCACCATGTCTCTGGTCTGTGCCTGACTTGCCCTGTTGTGATGACTGAGAATCTCTATAGACATTTCTTTCATTTAGTAAATGTTTCATCATATCTTCCAAGCCATTAGAGATATAATATTTTTTTATTTTGTTTTTATCTTCCCTTTAGATTAAAATTAAGCAATTATATATTCATGAACTGGACCTCTTCCAACCAGGCACTAACCAACCCAAAGCTTGTTTTATTGTGGTGAAATTGTTGTATTGTGTAGTTATGAGAGCAGTTCCCCGAGTGGCTAGTAGCTGAAAAACTTGCTTCATTTAGCATCCTTCTTACACGTAATATACACTTTCATAGGGCCTCTGGTGGCTGAGAATCACTCTGGAATTTGGGCAGTTATTAGTTGAGGGATTATTTATTGATTGTATTTATGGGATTAATTTTTGGTTGGGGTTTGGGTTTTATGCTGATTAACTATGTGGAGATCTCTTCTCACATTTAAAAAAACCCGGGTAGAGCTCTACTTTAAATATTACCACTCAAAGGGCAAGTCAGGTACAGACTCAGAGGCATGGTGGCATCAGCATGACTATCTTGGATAAATGGGGCTCACCCATATTTAAAAATTATCCTTATAGCAGAAAGGATCGTAAACATATTTTCTTCCTTCATAGTACTTTTTGTACCAGTTCCCTCCTGATGTGGATTCTGTCATTGTCAGAGTGGTTTCTAAGACAATCTATCCCTGCTCTGTGGTCTCCATCCAAGATATTGTGGTAAGTCCTGCTAGTTTATGATAGGCTACTTGAATATTGGAAGTGTTTGTCTTTGCTTATGGTACTATTGCTGCTCAATTTAATATGAATTGCGAATCAAATTTGGACCATTCCTGCATTCTGGGTCAAATTGGGCTAATTCTGACAGATCTGAGCTGCCTTCAAAGCAGGTAGATTCCAAATCTACATCCCAAAGTTGTTAGTGTTCACTTAGGACACAGAGAGAAAACAGTATGCCTGAAAACAAATATGACAATTGTCCAGTTCAGAGAGGACCCATGCAGAGATAACCCTGAAAAAGGAATTCAAGGAAGGGTTACATTAACATCTGCTTAGCCATGAAAGAAAAGAGGGGGTGAGAAAGAAGCTCAAGATTGTCTCACCTTGATTTTCTTGGGTATAAGGACAGAAAGAAACTCTAATTGGGCTTTCAAGTTTCTGTTATCATACTTTGCAACCAAGTTCCAATAGCCTTTGTAGAGGCTGTTTCCTGACTTGATCTTTCTCAGAGGACTGACAAAGTGGCTGGGGAGGAAGGGAGGACATTGTTTTTGTTAGTGGCATTACTAACTTCCAGTAATAATAAGACTTAGCAAGAGCAGTGATGATAAAACAGTCTTGTTTTACTTTTGAAGTGTCTCACAAAGAAGCAGCAGGTGCTACTCAGGAGGGGAAACTGTTTCTGCCTTATTGAGAGTCAGAGCTGTACAAACAGACTCTACATGGCCCAAATTTGTATTGTCCCCCCCTTTTCCATAAGGCACAAATGATAGCAGAGTTTCCTATCATATAAGAGTCATCCTTTCTGTGTAATTTTTTTTTATTCCTCCCATTAATTTCCTTCTTTCCTTCCCATTAGTTCCTCCATGTCTGTTCCTTTTCCCCCTTTCCCAGTTCAGATATCTCTTACCCACCCACCCCAATCTCACTCTCCCTGGCCCCCATTTCTGCTGCTTGGAGGGAACAGAATGTTTATAGATACTTGCATATTTGTGTGACTTTGTACACACATATGCAGAGAGTTCCTTGTGTAGCTTAATTCAGGTTCTTCACATTCACATGTGTAGAACTCCTTATCTTATCATATCTTACCTTACCTTATCTATCTATCTATCATCTATCTATCTATCTATCTATCTATCTATCTATTTATTTTATTGTTACTTGTTTATAGGAATGGGTGGCATTTCTGCAAGTAGTTTTACCTGGATTTGGCAAACTTAAATTGAGAAAGTGGGAAACCTGCTCATTGTACAGGTGTTTTGTCTGTGTTTGTGAGTTATTTCTTCTCTAGTATTCATTTTGAGAGGGTTCTTTGAAATTCAGGATCATCTTCCATTTTGATAAAAGTGCTGTGTAACAGTACCATGTGTTCTTTAATAATTCTTCCTTCTAGGCAGAAACATTAAAAAAAGGTATACAAATTAAGAAAACTCAAAGTGGCCCGAACTGAATTGCTCTGTGATGTAATGAAACTTGGGAATAAAGGTGAAGGTCTATAACAATTTGAATGGCCCTGATCTGAAATGTGATCGAGAGAAGGAGAGAATCAGGAAGACCTGCCAGGAATCTATTTCAATAACCAAATATACACAAGCAGAGGTAGTTCTCTAATCAGCTTCTTTATCTGTTGCAGTGTCCCGTTTATGATTTGGATTATAATGTGGAATTTAATGGAGTTTACCAATCCATGACAAAGCAGGCAGCTCTCACTGTGCAGGTGAGTGGATGGTGCTGTCTACTGTAGTCAGTCTGCTTTTGTTGGAGGGGGCAGTTAGGCAGATCAGGATTGTCTGCAGTCAATCATGTGGATGGATAGAGACATTTTGGAAGGTAGAAACTTGGCCATATTTAGGGAGAGGAGCATGGGGAAGCTGGCAAGCACAGGAGACGGCCGGCAATTCTGAGCCAGGAGAAGTTGATTTCAGGCAAATGAGGAATGATTTAGAAATGTGGGACAAGTCTAACAAAGGGAGGGAGAAGGAATCAATTGTAAAGAAAAACATATAAGAATATTGTACGTTTCCTTGAGGTCGAATACATCTACACTATGTGCACACAAAAACATACCTGCAAACAGTTGAGAAGTCTCAAGCATGGTCACTAAACCAGAGATAGCCGATGATCTTGGATGAAGAGGCATATTTGAAGTTTTGAGAAAATGTTGAGGGAAGCATCAACACAGAATCATGGCCCATTGGACCACTTTGGCAGCTCCAGAATACACCAAGCGCTCCAACTTTTGAAAGCACAAATGGCTCTTTTCGGGGTTATGAGTTCCTTCCTTAGAAAATAATTTGGGTTGAAATAGGTAACTTAAACCTCTTGGAACCTCAACACCCTCTTTTCTGTATTAAGATCTTAACTCCAATTTTATTTTAAATGTTTAGTTACACAATAGTTTACCACAGTCTTCAGCCAGCATAAAATAAAAATGTAGGGATTAAGAATTTAATAGCTATGACCTGAAAACAGTCTGTGGAGATAGTGAGTTAAAAGATAGTAGTTAGTATTAAAAGTTAAAAAATGGCAAAATAATAGCTGCAAACGTTTATAAAATTAAGAACTACAAAAAAGCTCTATGGTTAACTAAAATGAAAGTGTAATTAAAAGTAAGTGTTGAATAACATAAAATATACTATAATTGCAAAAACATTTAAAAGAAAAAAAGTCATTCAAATTCAGTTTGGTGAGAAGCTGTAGAACTGAATAACCAAGAAATAGCAGGATAATAATTATGACTGATTAGCTTAGCTGGAAGTCATTCCCTGCAAATTTTGCACACTATGCAATGCAAAACTTGGCAACCTCACGTTAAGAGAGAATTGCATTCAGAGAGCATACACAATAAGTTATATTCATTGGCCTGGGAAAATACAGATGGTTGTTTAAAATGGGCAGGAAAGGAGGACAGAATCATAGGGCTGGAAGGGACCTTGGAGGCCTTCTAGCCCAATGTAGCCCAAGGCAGAAGACGTTATCCCATCACATAGTTGGTGGCATCTTGAAAGCACAGAGGATCTTTCTTTTATCTTTAATCTAGCACAGCAAAAGAAAGGGCATTGTAGAGAGCCAGACCTTTCTGTGGAGTAGGAGCTGTGTAAGACATGTAGCTGCTGTTATTATTATGGTAGGAATCCTAACTGAAATAATGTTATTGATTTGCTTATGTTCAGTTATCAACAATCATAAATGCAATTCATTTTTTAAAAAAAACCCTGAAACAATAATGTGAAAGCACACCAGCAATGATCATTGATAAGAATTTTGCAATCTTCTTAGGCTTCTTTCCATTTTGCATACATTATAGGCAATTTAAAGAATGTACTGGCTTACAGTGTTGCTTATCCAGGAAAGATGGATTTGTTAGGGTTAAGGTCACTTGATTTCATATGAATCTCGTCAACTCTGCAAAGAATATTTGTGACACACGAGTCTTGTGCCATAATACATGGGCACAATAAATAATGGACACAGGATAATCTTACATATTTGTATAGGTCACAGTATCACATCTGTGGACCTGCTTTTGCAATGTGTATAATAATATATCTTAATGTTGGATTATATGTACATATTGGCAGGATTTTATTTTTTTCTTTAAAAAATATAGGAAATCTTTCATTTTGTATTAAAGGAACTGGCTTAGAAGTAGACTCCTTTTTTCCATCTCTTCTGTTGTTTTAGAGTCACTACTGGCCAATCATAGCTACTGTATGGTAAACCTTTGGAATTCTGGATAATTTCCATCTAATCATTTCCTCTTTCACAAGAAAAGACTTTATAAAAAAATAAAAGGATTTTCTTTCTCTGGGCATTGTGTATGTCAGTCACTGTTATGATTTCATTTATTGCCTAGATCTCTAAAAACTGACTTCACAATAATGAAAAAGAATAATTGCTTTTATTTCAATTTACTTATAGAAGGATTAAAATTTACTCTTTTTTTAAAGAAGACAAATGGGGATCCCCCAATAGGGGGAATCAACTGCCTCCTGTTTTTCCCCTCCCTTACTGTCCAGTTATCTTTCTTAATTAAAGTTGTCTAAGAGCATTAAAAATTATTATGTTTTTATATTGCACAGAAAAAGGACTTCCCAAGCAAACAGTTTTTTGTTGTATTTGTCATAAAGCCAGAGGACTATACCTGTGGTGGTTCAAGACCACTCTCCATTCAAGGTAGGTGCGTTATGATCAAAAAGGCCAGGAAGAATACTATCTCTCAATGTTTCAGTTTTGGTCATTGTAGTTATCCTATCTAGACTGTCATGGCAATCATAGTGAGACATGCATTTGTTACATAAAATTTAATTTCTTTGAAAGAAGTCAAACTATGTTCTGGGAAATGGAAGCAAGAGTTTCCAGATGGGCACGCTTTTATGACACTCTGAAGACACACTGACTGAAGTATGAAATAGTGTGTCCACTCAAGCTCTCACTTTAAATGCAGTGTTTTCTGCTCTGACTACCTTTCATGCTGATCTGTACATGTAAGACAGTGTGAGTCAAGATACTTTCACAATATAAGGAGTGGTGGCTCAGTTTTTTATCTTTCTAATTCAGAAACAGAGTGTGAACTACACAGATCACTATGGCAATAATGGGGAATCTTTGGGCTGACTAAGGCTGCTTCCTCTTATTTAGGATAGAGGAAAGACCATTTAGATGAGAACTCTACCTTGAGATACTTAGGCCTCAATTAGCAGCAAGGCTTTCCTTCCAGAATAGAAAGCTCAATGCCACAAACAAATGTATGTTCTCCCTCTCTCTCCTCTTCTCCCTCCCTCTCCTCTCTCTCCATTCAAGAATTCTCAACTATTTTGATATCTTTCTTTCTGGAAGCCATGGTCTGGTACAGATCTCATGACTTCCAAACTTTCTGCATGATCAAATCATATGTATGTACATGCATGTATGTATTATGTTACTCTTTTTCAGGAAAGACTAACTACACATGGAACCTTCAACGAATGAAGCATCTTGAAGTGACAGTGTTACCTTCAGTTAAAGGTCTTGAAACATAATTCTGTATTTTCTTAAAGTTAACCAAAACCAATGAAGCATTACTATCACTACAAATACGGTTTTATTAAAATAATACAAAACAAGGCATAACATACTCAGGTGATATTATGAGATTACACACTTGCAAGTGCTAATTGATCATTTGATTCTCTCATCCTTCAATTTGCTGTAATTCTATCTGGCACAGATTTTCACTCATGTACAAATACTGGATGTTGAAGAAATGTTTTCTTTAGAACCACCGAATAGAACAGATGTCAAAGTCTTGATTGCAAATTACCTTACAAATCTATCTTCCAAGTGGAGAATAATATTGAGGATTTCACATAGTAAGGGGAAGAACTGAGCATTTACCATTAATACCTGAAATTGGAGGGGCGAACAACATATTAGCAGTGGAGTGGACTATAATTTCTTCACTTACTAATGGTATATCCTTGTGTCTTTTTCCTAGGAACTGTTTATATACAGGCCATCCTTTTCAGTTTTCTGACTTTCTTCTCCTTCTATCTGGGTGCACTAGTGGTTGGATTTGTGCAATATATCAGGTACATAGAACATTCAGCACTAATAAAGCATATATCCAGGTGTTTAGGCCTGTATGATGGTATAACATATGATCCAGGGACAACTTCTGCTTTGGACTATGAAAACTTGCAATAGACTAATTAAGAAACTCTTGTACTGTATATAGATGAAAGGTTGTGATGACATTAGCACAATAACAATAATCAGGAATGTAACTGCTTTTATAATATAGTGTAGAGACAAAATGAATTTTCTGATGGTCCTTCTTCCATATCTACTAGCATTCAAATTGCTTAATGTCTGTCAAAGAAATAATAAACAAACTGTTTGTCTGGAGTCTGGACTATATGTGGTACATCTTTAGATGTTAATTTCCTTCCAACAATGTGGTTCACCACATTATTAATCTCTAGCCAAAAAGAAACTACTGTTAGACATAAAAGCACATTCAGGGATGTCCCTTCATATTTACTGCATCTCCAGTATAGAAAAAATGATCAAGAAGAGTTCAATATGTCCCAAAGATTCGATTTGATTTTTAAATCATAAAATATTTATTTTTACATTTCTTGAAGCTTTCATTTTCTTATATACATACAGCAATTCTGTACTCCATACTACTTATATACTATGGACATTTATTTGAATATTAGTGTTTAATTTCCCTGTAATACTGAATTATTGGTTTAGTCTAGGTAAACACTTTGTTGGTCAAACTTTGACTAGAACAGATAAAAATTCCACATCAGTGCCAAATAAGGAACATAACAAATGACTCAATTTAAGATACTGATATTTGGCAGTTTGTTTTGGGGTACTTTTTTAAATGTTTGAAAATATCCTTACATTAATTAATTAAAAAGACTTTAATTAGTTTAAAAAACATTTTTCTAAAAATAAAAAATCCAAAGTCTTTTCCTGCATTTCTAAATAAACATTATCCCAATGAGTCTACTTTTTATGATAATGAAAACCAGATTTTTAATTTCTTACCTAGAAAGGACCACATGTCAAATTATTTTAAATATTGGAAACATAATAAAATTTCTATTGTAATTAGCTTTAAGAACATACAGGAACTTTAAAGGTATTTAATAATACATTTTAACATGAGACCATAATGGAACATGTTTAAGATATACCCAATAATTTCATTCTGATGCAGTCTTGGTATGTCTTAAAATTAGGAAAAGTAAAATCACAATTTTCTTGTAAGGATGTAGTTTTGAAAGCATCTTGAATATTTATTATTTCTTTATGGTTTAGTTAAGTTTTAAAAACTATTTCAATGGAACCAAAGTAAACATAACTCTCAAATGTGAATCTAGAAGTTATATTTATTTTCACTACATTTACTTATTCCCCCAAACTCAGGGTTAATTTCATCCATCTCTCTAGCTCATCTTTCACTAGGGTGAAACAATTTGCTGATTTTTGAAATCATTTTTTGTCATTTTGTCATTATTTGTTATATACTGTGAATATTTACTATATTGTTGAAAAATCTCTACAAAAATGATACAAAATATGACAATCATTTAAAAGACTCAAAATATTATCTGCATATAATATATTGCATTCATCTTTATGATATATGATATCATATATTGTTCCATTAGAATGTCATCACATTGTTTTATTGAACATATCAGCGGTTCCAAAACCAAACTAAATATAGGTGAACATAAATGGCATCCTTGACGTGTATCTTTTTGCTTTTCATAACAAGAAATAATCCGATTCATAATCACCCAAACAAATTAAAATTAATGTGTAACAAAAAAACATGTAACCAAAAAAAAAACAGTTTATGTGTTAGGAAAGGCTTTTTGCAATCACCTTTTTGTAAGGATAATAAATCTGTCAAACAAAAGATATCAGATGTTTTAAATCCTTTTATAAATCCAAATTGTGCAGGTTATATTCTTGAAACTTTGTGCCAAAATAGCTGTTGGTTTCTTAGTGACAGTACAATGAAAATGGTTATTCAAAATGATCCTGCCAATTTTTAAAATAACTATTATATAAATGTTATAATGTTATGATAAATGGTTGCCTTTTACTATTTAGAGCCATTAATGACATCTATATGGTTATATTTGTGCTTGATTTCAGATTTCGTAGGAAAACATCAATACTTGATGATGGTAATTATGCTAATATATTGTGTTGCTATTATACAGTTATTCAGTTATCATATCAGGAGTTATTAAGTTCCAAGTGGACCCAAACATCAACATCAACATATTTTTGGTTGGGGATGCTGTTAGGCTCTATACAATCATTGCTGTGGATTAATGCCTTGAAGGAGCCAATGTCCTAGAGAAAGTGCAAATAAGGGATAGGTGCAGAGATGGGTTCCTACCAGTTCGGCATATAGTGGTATGCTGGCCTGGGTCATAGAACCGGCAGCAACCCAGGCTGGTCACGCCCCCAAACCAGTTCCCTGGTCACTGCCATCACCGTCATCATCTTTTTTTGGACAATTTCCTTTGAACTACACATGCGTACACATCCAGTGTGTGTGTGCGTAAGCCGTGCACACAAGCAAATTGGCAGTAATGTCAGCTGAACCCCACCTATGGATAGGTGACTATCGATATGAATGTTTATCTTTAAATTCAGTTATTTACTAACTTTCATATAGTTTCTGCAATAAAATCTGGAATACTCATCAAATTGATTCTTTTTCCATCTTTTGTCTCTCTCTCCCTCTCTCTCTCTCTCATCATTAAGTCATGTGGTTGTAAAGTGCATAGTCACTTACTACATCACTTAGTGATGGCAATCCTGGCCATCCCTGATCAGTTGTTAATCAAATCCCAGCCAGTCATTAAGTGAAGACCCATTCTGTTCCAAGCTATTCCCATCCTCCTTCCAGACACTCCATCTGATTTATCAAAAATAAACATCTTATGTTGAACATATAATTTTATTAAAAACTGCAACTAACAAAACAAAAAAGAAAAAAATGAAGG